GGTGGGTGGGAACAGGAGGGGCCAGGATGGGTCACTTCTTATAATATGAAAGGACCCATTTTCTGTTCTAGGGACAGAGGCAGGGGCAGAGGGACCTTGGAGAACACAGGATGTCCACAGGAACACAGGATTTCCCAGCCTACCCTGAGGGGGACCAAAGCCCTTTGGACAGGCCTTGGGGTGGCTGGTGTTAGATGCTTCACCAGAGGGGGGCGCTGCAGAGACCCCCAGGGTGGAGAGGAGGCTCAGCAGCCAGCCCTGGGCCCGGCAGCAGGCCGAGGGGGACATTCTCTGAGTCAGAGCTGGGAATGTGGCCCCGGGGCAGAGCACCATTCTCGCCTGTGTGGGGCCTGGGTTGGATCCCCTGCACCACAAAATAAATGAATAGTGAAAACAACGTTTCAAAGACACAAGTCACAAACCATCTCCCGGGAGGGGTAGGCAGACTCACACTCATTATCCTGAGAAATGCCCTGGAGGCAAAAAAGAAGGGAAAATTATTTAATCTCACTTTTTTTTTTTTTTTTTGCCTGCAGTTTCTTATTTCTGCTGCTTCATGTTTAGCCATTTTCCTGAAAACTTAAGATTCCAGCCTTTCCCACTGGACCAGGAAGAGGCAGGGAGAAAATACTCTCAGAATTGTGCAGGAACAGAGGGACCATCTGCTTCCATGGACAGTCTGGCTCCTTCCTGGGACAACTGATGAACGACAGGTGTAGACTATTACTTCAGGTTACCATGTTCTGTTAAGGTGCCTGCGGACCCCTGTACTGTGGATATATAAGAAAACACCACTGTTGTCAGGAAGTACACACTTAACTAGTGAGGATGACTATTTAGCAATATCATGATTCACTATTTATTTATTTATTTGCAGCAGGTCTCACTGAGTTGCTTAGGGCCTCCCTAAATTGCTGAGGCTGGCTTTCAAGTCATGATCCTCCTGCCTCAGCCTCCCAAGCCACTGGGATTATTGGCCTGTACCTCCACACCTGGCTCATAATTTATTCTTGAATGATCCAATAATTTATTCTTGAATGATCCAAAAGAAATTTAGAGCTGGGCAGAATTCCTTTGTCCTGCTCTTAGACCTTTTATATTTATTTAAAATCACACAAGTATTTGTAAATGCGTAGGAACGAATGAAGGAAAAAGCTATACTTAATCAAATCAAAGATGCAATTGATTCTAAAATAGGTCATACATCTTTGATGTCCCACAATGAAGGAAAAATACAGTTATTAAAAATATGGCATAATACTTTCCTATTGATTTAGAATGTCTCTTCTTAGGCTTTGAGAGAACTCTTTTAGATTTGTCATGAGGAGGTTTTATTACACATCCCTCTTCTGCAGGTATAAAAACAAATAGATAAGGGAAAAAAAGAGGCTAAAGTATTCTTGCAACTTCTTCACTTTCTGGTTTCAGTGTTTCAGAATCTCTTTTGGGTTTAGAATCGTATCTGTGCAGTACCATCCTCCAAGCCATCAAGCATGTAGGTGATACAGCAGCTTTTCTAAAGAATGCTCCATGAGACAGGACTCTCCCTCTGCAGTCATTTAATTGGGCGGACAGGAGCATCCACTAAGTGTGCACACGCTCAGGAACGTCAGCAACCACACAATGGCTGCCGGCCTGGAAAAAGGAGATGCGTAACACCACAGATGTGATTTCAGAGGTTCACAATAAAACGTGCATTTGAAATGTGACATTGTAAAGTTAACAGGGCTGGGCTTGTGGAAACTGTTTCTTTCACTCCAATGTTGTGCCAGTAAGACAAGATCATTTGTTGGCATTAGGTCTGAAATTGAAGAGAAAAAAAAAAAAAAAGAATCCACCTGATCCGCAGAAAATAGTTATTCTGTCTAAATTTCATGCCTGATTTTATTGCCTACATTTCCCAAGGCACAAAACTATCCACTTATTTGTTCAGGTCTAAGAAGCTTCTCTGCTGTAAAATGCATTAATTGACCCAAATGATATTAATCAAAAGCCTCTACCAAGTCAGGAAAAGACAGACTCAGAGGATGCCATACAGGAGTTTAGAGTCTGATAAGGTGCCAGGTGGAATTAATATGAGATACACTTTGTTTTTCCAAGCGTTAATATTTTTGAAGTTGCTCTGGGCCAGGTAGCAGTGATGATGTTGTTACCATTGCCTAAAACTCATAATGGGTATCATTAATTTTGAAAAAAAATTCTAGATTGGAGAATTTTTCAAAGTCAGGTTTACTGAGATATAACTTACAGAGGGTAAGATGTTCAGCTCTAGGAGTTTCAAAAAGCACGTACAAATCAGAGGTGGAATATTTCCATTTTCTTCCCAAGCTCCCCACTACCTTTTTTCTTTCTTTTTTTTTTTTTTTTTTTGTAGCCAATACCTTTTCTAACCTCCAGACCCTGGCAACCGGTGACCTGGTTTCTGTCTCAATCGTTTTACATTTCCCAGGATGTCCTATAAAAGGGTCACATAATACGCAGTATTTTATATCCAGCTTCTTTCACTTAGCAGGGTGTTTTTTAGCTTTATTCGTTATTGTTGCTCAGATCAAAATTTCATTCCTCTTCCTTGCTGTGTAGTATTCCTAGATGCTGATGGGTTGATACATCAACTGGTTGTCTATTCTCTAATAGACAGATAATTTGGACTGTTCCAGTTTAAGGCAACTATGAATGAAGTTGCTACTAACATTCAACACAGATTGTTGAATGTTGTGTAGATCTATGCTTTGATTTATCATAGGGGAAAAAAAGTAGAGATGGGATTGCTGGGTTATGTCTAATGACTATTTAATTTCATAAGAAATTGCTACATTGTTTTCCAAGGGGACTGAATTGCTTTCCATGCCCAGCAGTGATGAGGAAGTCTCAGCTGCTCCACATCACTGCCAACTCTTTGTGTTGTCGGGACGTTTTGTTTTGCATCTGCCATTCCAAAATATGTGCTGTGGTAGCTCAATATGGTTTAAATTTGTGTTTCCCTAATGACTAATGATAGTGTCTTTTCAGGCACTCATTTGCTATTTTCTTTAGTGAAGTGCTGTTCAACATTGCTATTTTTAAATTGGTAGTTTCTTTCATGATTTCATTCTATGTTCTGGACACAAGACTTATCAGATATGTGTTTTATAAATATCGTTGCCTAATCCATGATTTGCCTTTCATTCTTTTAAATATATTACAAAGATAGATTTTTAAAAAATTTTTGATGAAACCAACTTGTCAATTTTTCTCTTTTAGGATTTGGGTTTTATGTGTCCTAAGTTCATGGATGTTTGCCTAATGCAAAGTCACAAAGACATTCTCTTATTATCATTCTGGAATTCTGTAGTTTGAGCATTTTCATGTAGGCGTATGAGCCATTTGAAGTTTGCTTTTGTATACGATAGGAGGTGGGGATGGAAAGTTTTGGTTTTTTACAGTACTGGGGATTGAACACAGGAGTGCTCTACCACTGAGGTATATTCCCAGCCCTTTTAATTTTATCTCTGAGACGGGGTCTTGATAGGTTGCTGACTCTGGCCTTGATCCTCCTGCCTCACCCATTGGAGTAGCTGGGTTTAGAGACGTGTGCCACTGTGCCCAGCCTGGATGGGAGATTTGTCGTTATTATTATTGTTCCTCTGTATTTTTCCAGATAGCTATCCAGTGGACATCTTGGCACCTTTGTCATAAATAAATTATCATACGTGGGTATATTTCCAGGATCTCCATTCTGTCCCATTTATCTATGTCTGTCCTTATGCTGATGTCAAACTGTATTGATAGTTGTGACTTTTAATATATATTCTACTTATACTGCTTCTTCAAAATTATTTTGACAATTTAAGGTCCTTGATTTTTCTATATGCATTGAAGAATCAGTTTGTCAGTTTCTACCAAAAGCTCCGGGGGACTCTGATTGGAATTGTGCTAAATCTGTACATCAATTTGGAAGAGCGTCAACATTTTCATGAAGCTAGATCCACGAACACAGTTTATCTCTCTCTTTACGCTTAGATCTTCTTCAAGTTCTCTCACCAGTGTTTAGCAGTATTTAGCACAGAAATTCACACATTTGTTAAAATTTAACCTGGTACATCTCATGGGTTTTTCATGCTGTTGTAAATGGTCCTTTTTTTGATTTCATTTTTAATTGATCTTTGTTAGCATATACAAATGCAATTGATATTTGTATATTAACCTGGTATCTTGTAAAGTTCACTAGTAGTTCTGGTAGCTTTTATATAGATTCTTCAGAATTTTCTATGTAGATAATTGTCACTTTTATCAACTGCAAATAAAGACATTTCATTGCTTCTTGTCCAATTCATATGACTTTTCCCCCTTAATGAACTAAGATCTCTAGTACAATGTAAAATTAAAATAGCAAAAGTGGACATCTTTGTCTTGATTCCCAATCTTCAAGGGAAAAATACCTTTTTCACCATTAACTATGATGTTGACTATAGGTTTTTGTGGATACCTTATTATTATGTTGAAGTTTCCTTCTATTCCTACTTTTTGACAGTTGTTTATGGGGAATATATGTTGAATTTTCTCAAAATCTTCTCTGCATCTATTGAGATTTTCATATAATTTCCCTTTTTTAGTCTGTTAATAGAATTACATTGATGAATATTTTTAAATATTGGCCCAACCTTATAGTCCCTGGAAAATACCTCCAGAACATGATGAGTTAATAGCTGGATCTATTTGCTAATACATCATTAGGGTTTTGTGCCTACAGTCACGAATGAGTGAGTTATTTATTTATATATTGTTATAATGCCTCTGTCTGGCTTTGGTATCAGGATAGCCTTGGCCACACAAAATCAACTGACAGTGTTTCTTACTATTTTCTGGGATACATTGTACAGAATTAATGTTACTTCTCCATTCAATGTTTGGAACCATCTGGTCTTAGAATTTTCTCTATGGAAAGGTTTTGGTTTTCTATGAATTTAATTTGTTTAGTAGATACAGCCTATTCAAATTATCTGATATTTCTTTAGTGAACTTTGATAGTTGCATCTTTGTAGGAATTGGTGATCAAATATGTGACATAAAGTCGTTCTTCACACTCCTCTATCATTCTTTCCGTGTTGGGGTAATGTCAGGTGATGTCCCTTCCTTCACTCCTGATATTGGTCACTTTAATTTTCTCTTTTTTTGATCAACCTAACTAGAAGTTTATCACTTTTCAAAATCTTTTTTTAAACCACTTTTGGTTTCATATATTTTCCATATTCTTGTTCCAAGTACAATTTCATTGATTTCTTTTTTTTCCTAATGCGCTTATAGTGGCCTAAAGAGCAATAAAATTTAGGGAGGGAAAGTAGAGACAGCAATGATTCTGAATCAAGAATCATTTCAGTATATTCAGACCCTGAATCTGAAGACATTTTTAGGAACACCTTTATTTTAACATCGGTTCCTTAGTCTTAACAGACATACAAGCCTTATAATGATATCCATCTATGTCTAGGATAATCCACAATAGCTTTTTCAATATACACAAGTTGATTCTAAGTCATATGGAAGCATTGTGTCCTAGGTAATAGGCAATGGGGTTTTTTTGTTTGTTTGTTTGTGTTTCTTTCTTGGTGGTTATAAAATAATGAAGTATCCTACAGTAGATGGTATTTTAGAGTTGATGACAAATGGTCTGTGTCTTCAAAAGCCCAATATGATTTGCAATGAGGTAAAAGTCTGCCGATGAATTAAGACCGAGTGGTCTTATGGCTCAGGAAAAAAGCAATGTTTGAGGCTCACACTTGGGTTGACGAAGGATCAGGAGAAGGGAAAGAGATGCAAAAGAAACATCACACAGAGTGGAGAAGATGTGTCTGGATTGGTGTGCTCAGTCAGTCGAGTGGAACACTGAACGCTAAGAACTTTTTCACTGCGTCCTGCAGGTAATGGATCAATAGCGAAGTCGAGTGGGGAGTGACCGACTTCAGGCACATGAACCTGTCGGCAAGAACCAAGGAAACTAAAAGAGAGGAGACAAGTGACAAGGGAGGCTTCCAAGAGGGAGGCAGTGAGCATTAGTAACGAAATAGGGAGAAAAATGAGATCGAATGGTTTCAAGTTTGAGTGGGGATTAGGTTTACAGTACAGAGTCAGAGACGTGAGTTGGACCAACTCTGCTGTTGGAGGTGAGGCTGGAGGCGATGACGGGCCGCACCGCAGTGAGAAGACTCAGGCTGGGCAACTGACTGACCATCCCAAGAACACATATGTCCCCTGGCTACTGAAATATGGACAGAGGAGAAGATTCTGAAGTAGAGATACAGACTTGTGGCTTTTCCACCTGGACGTGACATTACCAACATGGAGAAGATACAATGAAGGTGAAAACATCAACCCTCGCCAACATGTCTGAGGCCTTTCGCGTATCAGACAGCAACACGGGGCTTTTCAGATATCGACTCAATACGTTCTCAAACCCATGAAGGAGGTGCCATCATGGTCCCTGTTGTAAAGACGGGAAAACAGAGACGCAGAGGACTTAAGTCCCATGCAGAAGATCACCCAGCTGGAAAGTTACAGAGCCCAGACAAGAACCCAAATAATCCGACTCCCAAACCTGCTCCACACAGCTTGCCTCTGGCAAGAGAGCAGGGATCCTTATAGAATGATATATTTCGGGGATAAGTGAGCTCAGACACAGAGACAGAAAAGGAGCAGTCAGAGAGGTAAATTGTGACAAGAAAGCGCTTCTACCACGAGGATTATAAATACGCACCACGCCAGATGGTCCTTACAGAGAGTATGGGAAGGAACGCCACGGGTTCGCTGTATGGATTCTATTTAAACCATTCTCAGCCACCAAGTCATCTCTGTTATCCATTTTTAAAAGTTTGGGATGAGT